AGGAGAAAACAAACTTAAGATTCGGTAGTTGAAAGTTATGAACTTGTTGAAGAAATCAAGAGTCAAGGTTATATTACAGGGACAAATCACACACTTACCCCTAGCATGCTCCTCATATTAGTGAAAAGCCAATTTATATTTTTGTTTATTATTAAGTGACAATTCCAAAACCAAAACCTCAATTCAAGACTTTTATTTAATTGAACCACAAATTGAACTCGATACTGATACGCAATACTTGAGATCGATACTTCGGGATTTCTCATTATTACTACATTGACGAATTAGTACATTTTCTAATTTACTGATCAATTATCATAGTATGTATTATGTTATCCACCAAATGAGTCCTCAATTAATTTCACTTTAACTAAATCTCCTTAACCACTTAAACACCACATGATTTATATCAGCAATATTGACCATTGTACTTTCTGAACTCTTCAAACTATATTTGAGATTATTCGAAGATACATCTTCGAATGTATTATATATTCTTTTTTTGCCTAAATTCAGTTCGGAGATGCATCTTTGAATAAACCCAAGATAAATTCGCAGATATATCTACGAAGGCACCTTTCGTTCTTAGTAAATCAAATAGTTACCCCATTTCTTAAGATAGTTCGGAGATGTATATTCAAAATATTTTTGGAGTAAATTCGGAGATGCGTCTCCGAATTCTTGACGCGGGATTTAAATACTTTCGCCTAGTTCGGATATACATCTTCGGAAAAAAATAAATTAAATAAAAAATGTTAATTCAAAGATGTATTTGCGAACATGCCCCAAAACTCATTCGCAGATGCATCTCCAAATTAACCTTTAGGTAAAATGAAGAATTGGTACGTCTGTAAATATATCTATGAAAACAGAGGACATTTTAAAAATGAGAATTTCTCTTTATACCTAGTAGTGGTGATTTTCACCACTGAAAACCCAAAAATACCCTTCAGATATGCACTTATGAACTCACCTATCAACATGTTTCAGATGTACATCTCCGAAGACACCATATTTCCACATTTTAATACTTAAACATTTGGATTTTAAATTCCAGTGGGTGTTTTGGAAATGCATATTCGAAACATATGTACAGGTTGTTTCGGATATGCATATCCGAAACTTTCTCTGTTTGTTTCATTTTTGTTTAAAACAACATCATTATCCATACCTTCAAAAAGGATAATTTTTTAGGATTATTTTGAAAGTATGAAACACGAAGATAATAATACGGACATAACGATTCGATTAGATGTTCAGGAAAATAGAAACATAATGTAGTACATAAGTCATTCGGAAAGTGCGTAATGTTAAAATATTACATCCAAAACATAAAACAAAACATAACATAGACTACTGCTACTGCGTATGTCTAATTCAAACCCCCTGTGACCTTCTCTGCCTACTGTACTGCGATGCACTGGATGCCTCTGTAACCATCCTCCCAACGATGGTAACCGCCTCAGGACCGCCCATCTCAATAATCCTGAAATCCAATGCCTTCTGCCCTAGTAAGTGTATTCGTTGACAGATCGATAAGAGATCAGTGGCATGGTCATCCTTAGCCTGTTGGTTCTCCAAGAGATCCTCAGGAGCTGGCCTAGGCGAATGTCCAGGACCATCCGGTGTCATGATATGGTGTGACACGTTAAATAACCATGTCACGTAACCCTCGGCATAATGTCAACTCTGGGATGTCGATATCATCTGATACTCCCGTGGCACTAAATGATTCTCCCAATTCTAGAAGATGCCATCAAGATCCCGTCGGACAATAGTGTCGGGAGCAGCTTGAAAAGGAGATCTTGATAGCGTCTACACATAGTCAAACTACCGGATACACCACTCTAGAAGATACCTGATCATAATATTTGACCCACAAGCTAGCCACCTAGAATATAATGAGATTGGATCGAATGGGACAATATTATTGTAATCATCAAATGGCGTGCATTTGATGTCATCATGATTAAGACGGTCAAGATACACCCTGTAAGGAGGCACTTTATGATTCCCTCTATGGATGACATACTTTACAGCCCTCGGCATGTCGTGGGTATAAATCGGGTCTGGTTCGAAACCAGGAATCTGGTGGAAGTAAGAAATGATCTAGCTCCGAAACAGAAATCATAGAATATGTAAGTATAAATTATTTAAAAAAAATCAAATGTAACAGTTGAAATAAAATGTACCGTGAGGAGTGTGCGAGAGCCAGTGAGTTGTCTAGTCCTCCAGTTTGAAGCTTCATTCAGCTTCTAGTACAGGTATACCAAAATGGCAGCCCCCCAGTTCCAGTCACAAACTGTAGTCAAATCCATAAAATATCAAAGGTATGTCACATCAACGTAGTAGGCACTTTTGTCCATAAATATGGACGTGTCAATCAAGAACATATAGTAACACCGTAAAACACAATCTCTGTGGTATTAAACAAAAACCTTGTCCCCATCATCCTCGGTCGCTGTCGTTGCAACCAGGTGCTCTTGATATAGATCCTTCTGGTGCGAAAATTTTACATGCGAACCATTGGTGGTTCTGCAGTCATCAACTGTCCTATATGGATTAGTACCCAGATACTCGACCATCCATTAGATTGCCTCAGCTCGTGGTATCTTGTGATGGTTAAGTAACCTCCCTCTGATAGATAAGTGAATTAAGCAAGCAACATCATCAAGGGTGATCGTCATCTTTCCAACGGGAAATTAGAAAGACGACGTCTCCTTGTGCCACCTCTCTGCAAATGCCCATTGCATGTCGTGACTTATAGTTAAGTAATCAGTACTACATAGTCCGACAAGTCTGGGGCCAACAACGGCCTCAGGAAACTAAGCAGCCCTAGGCACAAACAATTCAAATATTTTCCGCGAGTGGTTCACGGACTTAATCGGAAACTGTTCTTGTAAAAAAATTACTGTTAAAATATAATTTATGAGTAAAAATTTAAAATGAAAAGTGTAATAAGAAATATACCTCTCCGTCTCAAACATGTTGAGCGGCATGATCATGATAATAATTAAGAGGGAGATGTCATAAGGCCCTCTTGGATATCGACGTTCTCCTCCTCGGGTACCTCAACATGCTCGGGTACCTCTTCCCCCTCGAGTACCGCAAACTCCTCGGGAACGTTCCCCTCATCGGGTACCTGCTCATGCGCACGAGAGGTGGACGCCTGAAACAGGCGACTCCTCGATGCAGAAGAAGAAGCTCCCGAAAAATCCTCCCTTTGTACTCGACCCCGTCTTCGAGGCCTGTTAACCAGCTGCTCAGCTCTCTCTCGCCGGGCAGAGGCAGTCTGGCTTGGTATGTCTTGTCTCAAACGATTGGACGTTCCCTGGTTGTCAGCCATCTCCTGAAAAATTAATTATAATTGTTAATATCAAGGGATTTAAAAAAACAACTCAAGCAAGAATTCGCATGTGCACATCCGAGACTGATCCAGAGGGTTTAAGATGTTCACTTCCAAAACTACCTGCGAACAGCCATTATCAACTAACAATTTCTTCTTGCCCTAAATCATCCAAATATCATTTTTATGTCACCCAAACACCAAAATTAAACTATTCTAACAACAATCTACACGATGTCATTGATTCTAACTAACCTGATAAACTATTATAACATTGTATGGTGAATCAAATAGAAATGGAGAAAACTTACACAAATTTTGAACTTTAGAGATGAGTTGGAATGACTTGATTAGAGCTGAAATTGAGAGATTAATAGAAATGAATTTGAGGAATAAGGTTTGGATAGTAGAAATTTAGGGTTTTGGTGTAGAAAGGTGAAGGTTTTGTGTTTGAAATGAAAGGGTTATGTTTTGTTCGTTGTTTTAAAAACAACAAGGTGACTTCAGAGATGCATCTCCGAAAGTCATTATTTATGGGATAAATTCATAAATACACATCTGAAGTCACATTTTTTGATAAAATAAAATGACTTCGGATATACACATACAAACACACTTGTTTTTGTCAAATATAATGATTTCAAATGTGCATCTTCGAAGTCTAAGGATATTTAGAGAATTTCACCAAAATTTTAAAAGAAGTATATTAGGTGTACAAATAAATTCTCTTTAAAATTTCACACAAAATTTGAAAGAAGGTTTAAGAGTGCAAAGAAAAATTGTCTTTATACTTTACCTTTTTGAAATGGATATAATATGTTCTATTATAATGTTCCAAGCCCGGACAATTCAAAAAGGCAGTTGTGAAATGTTAAATTTGATTTTAGTAGATTTATTTTAATTTTAATTTTAATTTTTGCCAAATTAAAACACAAGATAATATTTGCTGCTCAACACTTCAAACTTGAAAGTGGGAAAGGGGGCAAAATGCTATTCATGTAGTCCATTCAATGTTTATCCCTGCAGTGCTGCATTTTTATACCCCATATATATTTTATGGAAACATCCAAATATAGCCAAAAATAATCTAAACAGCAGGCAGCAACACATATTGTCTATCTAGTCTAATTGCATTCCTTACAAGCAGATAAGAGACACTTAAAGTACTCACATCCTCAAAAACAATACAAGACAAAATTGAAAATTTGTCAATGATTTAAAATTAAAACATGAAGGAATGTGTGGAGGAAATAGTTAGAACAAATTTGATACAAAATTCATAGACTTCATCCCCTCAACATACAATAGATAAACCACGGGGAATCAGACATAAGTTCGTCGATTGAGCACCTATTTTGTAATAAAAAGAAATCACAAGAGTCTGATATTTTGCTAGCTACTTACTATCTGAATTATGAATTATAATAAAGACCAATCCCTGCATGCTAAATCAAGGCTTTCAATTACAGCCAGGGGAAAAAATCTCAGGGCTTCCCTGATATAGAGAAAGAATACATTCCCATCCTCAGAAACCCATCATACTACCTATAAACATTGCTTGGTCGCCGCCACACATGACCAGAAGCTTCCTCCAAGAACTAATTTCTCCAGCAATAAACATATGGAATTGCTCCGGTCTCAACACAGAGAAGCCTTAGTCACACTTGATATTCCGGTAGATCCTCCTCACGAACAAATTCGAACCAAGATGACCCACAGCTCCTGCACATTTAAAGAACACGTCAACAATTATTGTTATAAGGTATTCAACATGTGATTAAGGAATCCTATCTTCAGCAGAGTGAATACATGATTCCAACGAAGAATGAGATTAAACTGAAAACTTACCACAGAGAATTCCCAATCCAAGACAAAACATCATAGTATATCCAAAATAGAAGCTAGTTTGGAAGAAGCCTGACATCTTTGTCTTCACATAGTAGTAGTATATTGAGTAAAAATATACATAAACACCTGTTGAGGCTGCTGAAAGAAAAGAAGTCCATTGCCAGTTGTAGTTCTCAGCATTTAATAAAAAGTATGTCCCCACAATTGTCACACATACGGTAACAACAATGAGAATCAGAAAAACCAGTAGCATGAAGCCATAGACGTAGTACACCTATTGGCCACAAAGTGGAAGGAAAAAAGAAAGAAAAAGAATATGTAAGATAGTGTTTGTTTACTCAGCTTTGACAGAATAAGAGTTGCTACTTGAAAAATCATTGTATAGAAAAATATCCATGATAGCTAACCATTGGCTCTGCTCTGATAAAGTGCAAGTAAATCTTCACAATACCGATAAGAATTGAAGAAAAAAATTAACTTTCTGCTCAAATAAATTATTGCATTGTAATTCACCTTGTAATTCCAGAAGGAAGTAAATACAAAATACATCTCGATGAATATGCTGCCAAAAGGAAGCAGTCCACCCATCAAAGAAACTACAGAGGGTGTGAGGTACCACTTCTTTTCAGGAATGGGACGAGGAATGGTCTTGACGCGACATGGATTATTTGGAGCACCGCTCCAGTTTCTTCCAACAACTGTGCCAAGAAGTGCTAGAGGGAAAGAGATGAAAGCCCAAATAACAAAGACAACCACCATTGTACCAAAGGGGATTGCTGCTAGAGATCCATAGAATATAGCAACGGTATTTAAGATAAATCCAATTCCAAAGCACAAGAATGGGAACAGAGACGCTGTAAGGATCATGGATTTAATCCAACTTTTACCTGAAAAGATAAGCATAGTCATAATCATCGAAAAAGAGGGGCTAGCTACCTAAACAAACTTGAAGAAAAGATACAGCGGAGGTCAATGCAAAGTCTTACCCCCATTACGTGAGTACATCCCCCCACTTACATAACCAGAAATGACTGATGTGAAAGCATAACATACAATGAATGTTGTGACAATGGCTCCACGTCTGCATTTTAAAGGAAATTTGCATAATAATGAAGGAAGAAGAAATGAACAAACAAAATACATTCAACAGGAAAACTATAGCAATGGATGACTCAATGATAGTCAACACATACACCTAAAAGTAGAAGCTAACACGAGGATGTAACATCAAGCCCACTTTGTACACAATCATTGATAAAATCATTCAGAGTAACATCATAGTTATTTTAAGGTCAAGTACTTACCCGACGTATAACATCCCAACAATAGCTAACAAGATGACAAGAAGAATCAACAATGCAAGCTGAGCACCTGTACCAACTACAGCTGAAAGAAGCGCCAGATTGCGAGGAGGCCGAAAAACATCACCATGCACAAGTTTCCAACCAGATTCTTCACTGACATCTCTTTCCTAAAAATATTCAGCGTTGACAAAGAATTGGTCATCGGAACAACAATGGAAATTCCACAGATACATGGAAAAAAACAAAAGTTAACAAACCCTTACCAGAGTTTCCAAATCATCATCTTCCCGAGCATACTTTGCATAGTCATTTCTCAGTGTTCGCATCAATATCATAGACACCAGTCCAGTTAGGAATATAACCATCATAAAAGAGTTAAAAATGGAGAACCAATGAATCTACAAAAAGCCAGAGAAGCAGAGTTTGATCAGTGGCGTGGCCACAAGACAAGAATGAGAACAGAGCATGTAAACAATGGCAATAATAAGCACCAATTCAAGCTGAAATACAACAGGCAGAATATATTTTTCACCTGATGCTCAAAGAATGGATAATCCAGATATACATCAAACCGGTGTCTAAAAGTGACATTAGTGGGAATCCATTTGACAGAATATGTCATGTCCAACGACCTTCCTACTTCCAAAGATTTTGGGTCATCATGGGTGAGGTTCACATGAATGATCTGCAAAAAAAGAGGATCTTAATATGGCACCTCATGAACCCCAAAACAGCTAAGTAGCAAAGATATCCCAACAGTTTCTTCACCTGATCATTATTGTATTTAACAATGATGTTCTTGTGTGTGTAAAGGACATGCTTGCCACTATCACTGTTCTTATCAGGATGCAGCTCCCCAACATACCCTTAAACATGAATAAAAGACCCTTCGATAATGATGAACAAATGAAACGTAAAATGATATCAACTGGAGAGAAAAAGGCAGTTATAGACATACCCCATAATGGAAGATCATCTGAACTTGTGTTTAGCGCATTGAAGATCAACAGATATAACAACCAAAGAAAGAAACAATGGCAAGAGTAAGTTATTCAGCAATTTAAAAAAAAAAAAATGAATACATATAGATGAGAACAAATAATAAGAACCAACATAAAGATCGAGTTCATTCATATTGTTATACTTATCAAAATAACATAAGTTCAATTCCCCAATAATTCCTACGGCTAGGTATTGAAAAATGCTCAGTAAAGAACTTTAAACAAATAATCTTTATACTTTTGAAGGGAAGTCTCGGTGCAATGGCCGGAGCACATCTTATAACATATGTGTGGGGTGTGGCTTGCTCTCAAATTGATGTCTTTCTGACAAATCAGAAAGAAAAGTTTGTAACTTTGCATAAATTGCAAAGTCATGCCAAGACAGTATTACTAGAACTGGCAAAATGGATTGGGCCGTCCCAAAAAAACCCACAAAATGGCTGGGCTAGGACAGCTTTTTAAGCCTGTTTCTCAAGCCAGGTTTTTTGACCCACATTGTTGAAGCTCAAACTCTATACCCCGCTTATTGCATATAAAAAAAACAGCAAATTCTTATACATTGCCCGCTGCCCAACCCACACAAAAAGTAAAAAAACACTAGGCCCGTTATTTATGATATACCACCAAAAAAAAAGCAGTATATATGTACTTCTGTGGTGGCAGTAGAACTGCTGAGATGAATAGGGATGCTGCACTAGGAGCAATGGGGGCAGTCCTACGATGTAGCACCTTGTGAAAGAAGTATGAATGCTTTGTTCAATTGAGTTTATTTGCCACACAAATTGAGATAAAAATATTTTGATGAAATTGTTTTTATTACCATCTCTCTCTGGTTTATTGTTATTTCAAATATTTATATACCTCTGTGGGCTGGGTAGTGGCTTCCCCTCAATTATTTAAAACTATTAAGCCACCTTTTTAATGTATTTGGGTGTGTTGACTACTGCTGCACATCTATGTTGCTGAAGAATCCATTTTTAGGTGCGGATCTTGCTGAATAGACATTTTTTCAACATATTTTAAATCAGTTTTTTAGGTAAAAATTAAAAGTTTCGTATAAGCTGGGCTGGCCTGAAAAACCTGTAACCCGCAAAGGGCCGGGTAGCAGCTTTGCCTGCTTTATATAAGCACCCAGCAGAGTATTGGTTAAGGAAGTACGGTTTGAGAGGTAAGTTAATAGAAACAATTGAGTTAACATGCCCAGCATACAATGGTGACTATTAGGGTTTAAAAAAGACTCCTAAGAGAGACTTTTTTTGGGTGGTTTTGAGGAAATCCGAGTAAATGTTAACATGTGAGATGGGATGACAAGGGAGATTAGAAAGGTAGTCAAATAGAATGTTAGTGTGTAATGTAACAAAAGATTAAGATTAAAAGATAATGTTACAAAACATGGTATGTGGGCCCAACACATAGAAGAAGCTCTGTAGGAGCTGGTGCCATTTTTTTCACGTCAAGGTGATTATAATACCAGTTAAGAATGCCTAGCAGGCAATAACTTCACATAGAAGCTTCTAAAGGCTTGTTTGGTTTTGGAAAGAAAAAAATTCTTATAACTTTAGAAGCACCGCTTTGTTTTCATTTTCTTTCCTGTTTTAAAAGATGTGTTAAAACTCTGTTGGCCTTTTCCAATACGTCTCATTGAAGTTTATTCGAAGCATCTGATTGGATAGACAAGACAGAAATTCTTTTTAAAAAAAACATCCTGTGCATTTTGTGAAGTTTGTCCATACTGGGTTCTAAGAGCCAACTTTTTCTAGTTAAGATATTATTTATCCCACCGTCTTCATTTTATAGAAGAACAAAGACAAACAAATGCATCAACCTTCTAAATTGTTCTAAACTTCTTTTACTACCCATAAGTACATTTTTTCATCAATTCCCAGAGTTATAGGTAAAGAAAAGAAACAACGAATAACATACCCATGAAGAATTCAAACCAGTAATTATTTTCTATTGCATCCTTGAACTGTTTAACCTTTGCATCATCAAGTTTCAAACGGCAAAACGTGGTCCTTTCCACATTCCCTAAAAAAGAGAACAAAAACTATTAAAGCCAGTCTGTCTACTGATAGGTCTTCGAGGAAATAAATAGGACATAATAAGCCTTCATACCTAGGTACTTTATCTCAATTTGGCTATCAATAAGTTCATTGCCTCCAAGGACCTCGCCTAGACCACCCCATTTGTGAGGAGCATCACCAGGTGGACGGCAAAATGGGAGGCTGTAATAGTTGTATGTTTCTTGTGGATTATTATAAGGGCCTACTTTGTTCACCCAAAGGGTAACTGGGTCATCTTTTTGATACTGCAAAAAAATAAAACAAACCAGATGCTTTAAAGAGATGAATATTGCCCGCAAGAGATGAATATTGCCGCGCAAGAAGCTACATATAGACAAACACCAATACTAAATGCAATATTGACACTACCACGTAGACACGGGTAATAATTTGAGAAAATGAAAGTGATTAAATGTAAAACTACATGTGCCGCCTATAATCTGTTATGCATGTGCTAAATAGGTTACAATTGCCTAAAGACATTTACTAGTATATTCGAGATATTAATTGAGATCCTTCATGTAAGTATAGTGTACTATACATAATTATTTTTGTGTCATCATGAATCAATTTAAGATACATGATTCATACATAACACACAGCATGCAAGCACCATCAAGATGAAGTGATATCCAACACTAATAAGTTCATATGAAAGGGAAGACTGTGATACCTAAGCACCGCTATGCACTAACTAGTTTTCTAACCAAACTTTCCCAAATGGATAGGTATGCCATATGTGCACCATTTCAAATTTGGAAGGATAAAAATATAGCTAACAGACAGCACAAAAGACTAAGCTAAGAACTCTAAAACCCACCCTCTTGCATTTTTCAACAAATCAAGACTAAATAAAGGAACCAAATAGCAATGGATTTCCTTTAATATTGAATATCAGCCCGAGGTTACAACAGTAAAATAAGAGGTATCTATGAAAGTAAACAAGCTAGTTAATCACTCTAATATTACAAAAACAATTAATAATTGCAAACTCTAATCTAACAAACACACACAAGTGAATGTTCATGTTTGCGTGATTCCTAACCTATCAAATATCATGAATTGAAACAGAAATCGAAATCAATGTTGAATGTTAATGCCAATCATCTAAAATTCACATCGAAGGCGCAAACAAAGAGCGTGCATGATGAAATGGAGTGAGCAAAGAGTTGAGATCTGACACCAAAACATTCAACTATGTAACTCGGAATTAGAACAGAAACGAAAACAAAATCACGAAGTTAAAAAAAATGAAAGATGGATCTAATTCATAAAAATGGGGGAAAATCAGATCGAGGAGTGGAATTGTGAAATCTGACCTTGTGATCTGACTCAGAAGCGAAGGCCGGAGAGAGGAGGAGAAGCAGGAGGAGAGAGAATCGGAAGAGCATGGTGGTGGCGGAGGAGATGGGATCTCCAACGTTGATGAGAGAGAAAGAGAAATAGAGAGAGAAACAAAAACGAGGACTTAACCTTGAAGAATTGAGACTCTATTATCTCACTGCCCCCATTTCTCAATTCAACTATACAATTATAATATACAAACCTTATTTTTTTTTATGTAAGTTGTATTATTTTTATGATTTTTTTTTCCGACTGATTATGGTTTTTAAAGGGAAGTGTTCTTTACGAGTAATTAGGGATGTCAATTTGTATCAATATAGAGGATATTAGTGGCGATTATTTATGCGGAGTTTTGAAGTTGGAGATTTTTTTTCTGTGGGAATGGAGATAAAAGAAAAAGTTTTTCCGATGACACTTCAAAATGGAGATTGGAGAAGTATTCTCCGCCTTGCAGATTCCTCGATCCCGAGCATACTACTTTAATTTTATATATAATATATTATATAGTATATGTTCTGGACTGGCCCGACAGTTAGAATGGGTCCAGTCTAACCCTTTCTTTCGCTACGGCCCGCATGTCCATGGCCTGAACCGCCTCGCTCTCCGTCGGGCAATATCAATCATTTGTCCTCCCAAGTCGGCATTGACCTAAGGTGATCAACGAGCACCTCTCAGTCTGTCCAACATCTAGTCGTGCAGGCAACCAGGAACCGATCAGAATCTTTGCCCGTAACTTGCCTCATTCTCAAAATCAACGGCTAGTTACGGACACATCTGTCCGATTTGACCAAGTCTTGACAGTTACCTATTTTTACGGAGCCGCATATCCAGACGCAAAAACAGGAACCAGTGGCCATGCGCCATGGGCATTATATAAACCCTCACACATGTGAGGGCCAGGTATCGAATAATTCACTATTCACCACCAATACCTTAATACTTGCTTGTATCTCCTTGTTCCCATTCTTACTTGATCGTCGGAGTGTCTTGCAGGTACAACCCCTTTTTTTCCTCCTCGACATCACAACCCGACTACAGATCATCATCCGACCACCTTGCAAGTTCTGATCAACTGGTAAGATAAATGGCATCGTCTGTGGGAAACTGCTCTCTCCATCTTCCTTTCCTTGAAACTTAAAGATCAAAGCAATTTTCAAGATTCCTTTCACAAATCATGGTTGACCATGATGATCTTCATCTGCTCAGAAAGGTTACTCTTTCCTCTACTCATAATACCGACGGAAGTCAAGAACATCCTCACCTCAAGGACAATATGGGTTTCCGAGACAGATGGACTGCATCTCCAGATTCAACAGACGCCCGACGCGACGACAACCAATTCTTGGACAAGGGACATCCCAAGAATACCACGGAGGAACTGCCAGAAATCCTGCAACCAATTCTCATCCCTCTCAGCACCAACCCGACCATTGCAGCGTTGCTCGTTGCTATCAATCATACCAACACCCCCATCCTACGGCAGAATCAAAGGATAGGGCCTGGGAGAATAAGCGGTCAAGGTCTCCTCCTCGGAGAGCCCGACAACAAAACTCCTCTAGTATATCACCGCCTAGGTGTGGCCTTCCACCAAGAAAGGAGAAATGCGACGTTTCTTTCTTCAAGAAACGCAACCACACACCTCCTGTGAAAGATCAAGACTCTCCTTCGTCCAAGAAGAGGAAATACAACCGTCAAATCGACCACGCTCGATTACCTTTGCCTGGACCAAGACAGAAATGGAGGAGTCCCTCCCCCCGACGAGATCGTGATGATCGACGGGATAAAAATTATCACTCCTCTTCTCCGTCCCTCGCAGATAGTAAAGACGAAGAGCTCTGTAACCCGTTATCGAGGGAAATTACAAAGGCCCGACTCCCTGTCAGCCTGGAGAAGCCACCTCTATTGGGAACCTACGATGAAACGATGAACTCCGACGAGCATATTGAGAACATTGACACTCTCCTTGACTATCGAGGAGTCATATGGGCCATCAAATGCAAATTGTTCCTAACCACTCTCAGGAAGGGAGCCACCTCCTAGAAGCAGCTCGGGAGGATATTTTTGAGACACTTCACTGCCTCTCATCGACACCCAAAGTCGGAGGCTTCACTCGAAGCACTCATCTAGGGCAGAGACGAATCTCTGCGGGCATACATCGAACACTTCAACAAGGAAGCAATCCAGGTCTTAACAACCGACAACATAAAGAAATATCTCCTCAAGCGTCCGTCCCCGCAACGACTTTGCCAAAGCTGTGGGCATTGAAACACCGGCCACACTCGACTCCCTCCTCCTTAAGGCCCTGGTATACATCCAGTACGGGGAGAAGGAAGCCGCCAACAACGTCAGGGATTCGAGGCACATGGAGAATGCCAAGACCTCGAGGAATGACGAGCCCTCAACATCACGTGAAAGAGAAAAGAAACGGAAAGATAAGTCCTGGGACTCCAAGGACTACAAGGGGCCAGTTGGCCGTTCCACGACTACACCCCTCTGACCACCTCAAGAGAGCGTATTATATCTGAATGCACCAATTCCGAATTTAAACAGGTCGAGGTACACTTCCCCCGATAAACACCTTCCAAACCGGAAACCGACAAGAGCAAATATTGTAGGTTCCACAAGAGCCACAAGCATAACACCGAGGATTACATTCATCTCAAGGATGTAATAAAAATACTGATTCGATATGGGCACCTCAAACAATACAAGAAGAATGAGGGCGCTCGTGAAGAAGATCCAAAAACTAAATTTGTCGAAGAAGGGAAGATGTTCCCTGACATCAATGTTATACCGGTTACCATTAGCATCTCGCGGTCGAAAGATTTATACTAACCAGACATGGAGAATGTCCCGCTGTACTTCTCCTCCCACAGTCCTTAGGAATATTTTCCCATAGCCATGGTCATCTCCGGTGGGGGATTCAACAGGCACACGATTGGGTCGACAAAAAGAAGATTTGACCAGCTCATTGAAGCTAACTCGGACATGGACACCACGCTGGACAAATTCTGAGGAGGCTATCATCCCTTCGCTTTCTACATGGATGAACTGTCGGGTGGAGCCCCAAATTCGACCATCCCACTACTCGTGAGAGCTTGCATGGCAAATTTCGATGTGCGACGCATACTGGTCGATCAAGGCAGCTCGGTGGACATCATGTACGCCAAACTGTTCACCACCTTGCAGCTGAATGAAAGTCATCTGACCCCGTACATGGTGTGATACGGTGGGAGAACTGACTTGGTTGTTTTGAGTTTTATCGTAAATGTTGCGGTTAGCAAGAGTTACCACCGACTTTTCTTTTAGCCAAAAAGGAAAGGCTGAAAAGAACATGAAAGACCTTTAAGATTGTTTCTTGAGTTAGGGGGGTAGATTATGAAAAGGGAAGGTGTTAGCACCATTTTCATCCATAGTTATCTATGGGCTCTTAGTTGCTTTCTAGATCACTTGCTTTTGTTTGAAAATGTTCTTTGTGTGGTTTTTGAAAGTATTTTGAAAAGGCGTCATCGTTTAGGAAAACTTTGTAATAGTTCTCATTCGTAAGAATGTATACAAAGTGTTGAGATTTTGAAAATGTTTCAAGTTTGGAAGATGTTTTGAAAGTGTTGGTGTTTGTTTTAAAAATAAGCAAGAGTGTTTGATTTGAAATTGAGCAAGCAACTAGGAACAATTTACCTACTCAAAAGTCTTAGTTCATTTCTTCCTTTCCTTTGATATTGCTATCTTACCATTGATTTGGTAAGAAGCTTTATCTTTGGATGTAAAGGGACGAGCATGGGTCATCGTATAGCCATGATATAAATGTTATGAAATATCTTAGTAATTCTCTTCGAGGGAATAAGATCATTTTGAAAGGAAACTTTGATAACGTCGTCGAGGGACTATGATCTTGTATTTTTTGATTGATTTTGCTAAGATGCTTCACATGCATAACATGGCCATTTTTATAAGGCAACAAAATGGATTTATTCTAAGGGTGTATGTGTGCAAGTGTGTTGATTTACATGCATTGTTTTGTCTTTGATTAGGGTTTGCTACTCGTTGGTTTTATTTTTCCATACAAACCCTAATTACTAACATTTATATGAAAGCGATAAATTGCGGAAAGTAAAATTACTACGCTATTACATCACTTGGGGATGGGGGATATAAATTTACAAAGGGGGTGACAAGTAAAGTAAACCCTAATTACTATTACAAGGCTTTGACAATTACATAATTTATAATGCAAAAATAGTAAAATATGCAAGAAGATATAAAGTGAGAGAAATTGTTTTTTAGGGTTTTTTATAGAAAAGGTTTTGTAATTAATTTCATTGAAGAAAAACCTAAGTCTAAATTAACTAAAAAAAACTAATTGTTTGGAAAAAATATTTTGAGGTTTCATTTTAAAAAAAAGGTTTGATAGTGTTAGGTCATTTCCAAGCAATACAATATGTCAAAAATAAACTAAAGAATCTCAAAAATCAAGAAATTTGGTGCTTGAGCTGACACGAACCGTGTCAGTGGACACGGGCACCCGTGTAAGGACTTGTCCATACCTTTTCTACATTTTTTGGTTCCAACTAATCTAACACGGCCGTGTCACGTGACACGGGCGCCCGTGTCCATCTTTTTTTGCTCGTGTACGCACCAGTAACATTGACACGGGCCGTGTCGTGTGACACAGGCACCCCTGTCAGCCTATGTCCCTGCCTTTTACTTATGTTTTTCAATCCAATTAAGCTGACACGGTCCGTGTCGTGTGACACGGGCACTCGTGTCAGCCCCTAGTCTGGCTTTTTGTTAGTTTTTTCTCTTTGATTTGTCTTGTTATATCTTTTGAGTGCAAAAGCAAATGATGTATGAACAATGATATCACAGTTTGAGAAAGTTTACCTCTCGAAGCGGAAGCTTTAGAACATGTACGAATGTTTTCAGGTGTAGAGTGGTGATTGATTGAGCTCCTTGGAACCTTCTTGAAGTAACTCCAACCTTCCTTTTATACTGAAAATGGTTGAACTGCTCCAACCAAGTCAAGTTGCAACATATGTTTTTGAATTTG